GACCACGGGCGGCCGCGCCTCTACCCTGCCGGCCTCTGCGCAAGGCCCCATTATTGCGCGCGCCCCGCGCCCTTCCAGGTGGCTTCGCGTACCTGACGGCGGTGCCCTCGGCCTCGGAGGCGGCCGGGGCGTGCTGGGGGCGCGGGCGGCGCTCACTGGAAGTCGGGGCGCTCCTCAGCGGCTTCCGGGGCGCCGATGGCTGCCCTCCTGCCCCGGGGTAGGGCCGCGGGCGTCAGCGGCCCCGGACTCTCGGCCGCCTCCTGGGAGCCCAGGGTCAGATTTAGTTTCACAACAACGTCTCCTCGTTACCGCAACCCAACTGGAGGCCGAAGCCGGCGGGGCGGGGCGGGGCGGGAGCCCGGCCGCCCCTGGCCAAGGTGGAAAGTGGGCGCGGGGCGCGGGGGACCCTGAGGGGCCCGGGCAGCGCGGCTGCACTTACTCGTGTCACTACTGCGGCGAAGCGGGGCTGAGGAACCGGTTCTTCCAAAAGCAAACCGAAAATGGGTAACCGAGACGCCGGGGCAGCGCTAAGAGGGGTTCCGCCTCGGTGTTTAGGGTAAAAAACCTGGCTCGGGCTTCCAGAAATTCGAGCCAGCGGTGGCTTTTTCTTTCTTTCCTTTCTAAATGCGCCCGTGCCTCCGGTCGAGGGGCGCCCTTCCCGCGGCTCCGAGTGCACAGAGACACCAGGGCTGGCGCTGGAGAGGGGAGCCCTCTTCCCAAAACCCCTAGGCCTCCCCCGTACCCCCCAGCCCCTTCCCTGGGCCCGACGCCCCTCTGCTCTGCAGCAGGAGCCTGGGCCTGCAGCCCACTGCCCCGCGTGGTGTCTTGGACGCCTGGCCCCTGCAGCGTTTTCTACAGGAGAGGCCTCAGAAACAGAAGGAGGGGGTGGTGGGTTAGCTGTGTCACCGCGAGGGAGCTAGGTGTGCCTGGGGAGGTCCTGAAGGGGAGGATGGGTGGAGTGATTTGGTGATTTGGGGCGAGGGGCTGTAGGTTGGATGTAAAGGAATATTCGGTCAGCCTGAAACTGATGAAAACATCTGGGATTAAAATAACTTTAGAAGTGATCTTAAAGGTATGTATTCTAACTTCTTATACATAGCAGAACTGAGGCCAAGAACGGTAAATGTCGGGCAGGGGAGCCTTGGCTAAATGTCCAGGCCTTACCTAATATCCTTTCTTTTAAACTTTTTGTCTTTCTTTGCACCAAGGGGCGCTTTGGGAGGATAGGGAGAAGTTTCTGTAACCCCAAATTTCCCCTGTCTCTGTAACTTAAGGGGAGCTGAAGAACCTTTGAGCCTGCAAAGTATTTCAGCATTGGATGAAGAAGCATCCATTGCAAGCCAGTAATCTGAGATGTTCCTTCTCCAGGAATTTCCTCTTACTTGATTGGGGAATCCAATCAGGAGCAGTGAAAGATACGCAAATACCTTGATGATTTGCTCTTATAAGGACTCATCACTTCTCAGTGAGCATCACAATGTTGACTCTTCTCTCCCTCCAATGAAACCCCTTCCCCATCCCCCACTCAATTGTTCACATCCAATGAGATCGTGTAAGCAAAAGGGTCTTAGAAAGTAGAAAGCATAGCATGAATGCAGGTATTATTGTACATACTCTTTCAAAATTGTCTAGATTCACACGCTTTACTCTTGTTTCTGTCAGTCATCGACTTGTGCGAGATGCCATGAAGTTAGAGTCAGAACAATGAGATTGAATCCTTCACCTTCAAAGGCCACAGATTATAGATTCTGAGATAAGACGAACACACAGGAAATAATCAGAAATCTACACAAAGACTGATTTTTTTTTTTTTTTGGTCCTAAACTGTTGGATACTTTTATGTTTTCAGACCCAGAAACTTTACAAAATAGAACATGTATATTGGGTGAGGGAGACTCCACGTAGAAGTCAATGCATTGATAAACTATGTTAACCCATTAAGACCTCAATACCTTCTCCAAATAGAAATGTTAACCAAATTATCAGGATGAGGATGAGGATGGCTTTTGCTTTTGGAAAAGGAATCCACTACCTACGCTTTCTACCTATTCATAAAGAATTACTATAACATAAAAAAGCAAATCCAGAGACTCTTAAAAGATTAAGTGATCAAAATTTTATTTAGGGGGGAGAAAAAATAACCCAAAGCTACCAGATACAGTGTTTGCTAAGAATTTACCAAAGGCAATGAGTTTCTCATGTCAAATATTGCAGTAATACTATTTGCAAATCATATTTTAAAAATCAATCTATATAATTCAGAAGTAACATATCACCTAAAATTTTTATGTATTAATAGAAGAATTATTTTGATACTTTATCCTAGTATTCTTAAAGTTTGAGAGAACAATCCTCAAAGCAAATATCTGACCATTTTGTTTTTTTAGGGAAACCCACTTTCATATGGCCTTGGATAAAAACCGATCTAAATGGTGAACCAGTTTCTGAATTTGAGGGTGTCGAGAATTATTTCATCACTCTTTCAGAAAGGCCATAAATTAAAATACTGGCAGTAGTGGATTCAGAAGATAGAGGTATATTCAGAATTTTTTATTTAGGAAAATTATTTGCACAAAGCACATTTATTTTAGCACAGTATAAAATTCTTCATATTCTCCAAAACAGGAGTAGCAGGAGCCAATTCATCCAGTATAATGTATTCCAGACACTTGCTGGAATAAACAATGCTCTTGAGCCCCTCAGATGCATAGCCAATAGGGAGCTGTTGACTACTTGAGGTTTTTACACATCACTCAGCCAGATCAGAAATCCAAATCCCAAATCAGTCACAGGCACACAGTGTGGATTTAGAGTCCTGCCTGGATGTAGGGTCACCACCTGAAAATGAGTTATACCACCCAAGATGGGTTTATTTTTGATTAAAGTATACTTAATTTTTAAATTTTACATGAATACAAGTATGAATAAAATTTTCAATAAAAATTTAAATGTCCTTTGCAACACCAAGCCAAAACAAGCTAGAACATATATTCATAATTATCCATCTGAGATTATATTTGAGTTTATATACATATATTGATATAAACATAAATATAGATATGTTTATCTGTAGAATTTCCATGTGAATAACTAGAATATGCCATAAGGACTCAATTATGTATCTGTTGGTTTATATTGGACTTAGAACATTCAGCTGTTTACATATCATAAAATGTTAATTCTAACTGCTATCCTAACCTACATTATGTATCATAAAGAAATGACAATGGTTTTTTCCACATGAAGACAAAAATTGCTAAAGTGTAGAGTTATACTCTGGCTTATGGCATAAACACAGAACACATGACAGAAATGCACATTTAAACTCGAGTTCTATTCATATTCTCAAATACAGATCTACAAAAGGCAAAGGGCAAACATCAACAAGAGTTTTAGTACTTTGAGCATTTATACTCTCCCTACACTAAGAGGTTAGGTATATTGTAATCACTCCCAATTCAAAAGAAATTCTCTCTTTCTCTCTCTTTTTGTCTCTCACAGGGACACACTTTGAAAATTTCTTCATTATTTAGTTTGGCAATGTAATTTCCTATAGAAAAACTTGCCAAATGCACCTAAAAGGAGTTATTCTTAAGAAGGAGAATGAAGATCCAACCCTTTAACTGTGATCCAGGTTTCTTCCTGAGCATCAGTGAGAGAAGACTGGACCATGTGGGAACAGCTTAGAGTGAAGCCAACTCCCCAGGTACCAATAGAAATTTTCTTATACACAGAAACAATTTAAAGAAACAATTTTTTAAAATGAATCATTATTTTCCAACACTGGGCTTTTTTTCTTTCCCTTAGCTAAATCACTTAATATGGTGAGGAATTATGTTAACTCCTTCAGTAATAAAGTGCATCTCCTCAGTCTGAGAGCATTAGTTGAAGGTACTAGAATAATAATGCCAACAAAAGTTATGCTAAGACTAAAGATACAATCTCTAAGCTCTCAGACCTTTATATCATAAATAAGTATATGTACTCTTTATGGGAATATGCTGTCATCTGAAAATTAATTTCTATGCCCACTGATCCTCTAAAATTTGTATGAACTAAACTACAGAGAAGTTTACTCACTAGGTAGGAACTTACTACATGAGCCATAAATTGTGACTTTTTTGCCCAATGTCTTATTACATTAGGACTGGTTTTCTAAAGCAGCTATTGTTGACTAACATTAGGAAGTAAATTTCCCCATTAAGACTTCTAAAGGACAGATTCTTTAATTATACCAGGGATTTGGGAGGTATGCAGTGAAAGGATCTGGGGTGAAGGGAACAAGCTTACTTTTATCTTTTGTCACTGACAACTTAGGAGACCAAGTGAGGAATGCAACACTAGGATTCTTGGCTAGATTTCCACTAAAGCAAAGACTTAAGGTTAATTTTCAAGTACTGTTTTACCTATGTCTCATAAATAATTATTATGCTAAACTTTATGTTTAATTAACTAAAAAGTAAAACCTATTTTGTTGAACGTTTTCTTTTAGTGAATCAAAGTTGCTGAGATAAAATGTTTCTGAATATTTAATTTATCTAATTTTTATTTTATCATTTTTTTCTCTTGGCAGAAATATGTATACATATTGATCTCTATACATTTTTGTCATATATATGCCTATATATATGCTTTTTGTTGTTAGCTGTTACAGATGAAAATTTCCTGAACTTTCAATTCACTTTTATTCAGATTTTTCTATTTATTGCCATATCCATTTGTGAGCTGACATTTACAAAATTGATTTAACAAGTGCTTTTTGAATACGATTACTCAATGTATCAGTCACACGTTCTCCCTCTCCTCCCAAAAAAGGCAATGGTTGATTGTTCTTTTAAAATGTCTACAACATATGACAAACAAACATCAGATTTATTATTTTCTCTCACAACTTGGGAATTTTAAATATAGCACTTTTTTCTTCAAGAATAAAATTGCAGGTAAATTTTAAAAATAATATTCATCATTTTGCTCTTCCAGTATGGTTTAGAACCGAACTGCATGCTCCACAAGTAAACCCTAATGGCCAGCAGAAAGGAAATGCTTCGAAGTTTGACTCATGAAGAGTGGACCTCAAGTTTATGACTTTTAGATTATATTTCCCCAGACATACTACTTGCACTTATCTAGGTTAAATCTCATTTGCTATTTCCTGACCATGCTTTTGGCAGATAGCTGATAATACTTTTGTTAACTTTGGTTTACAGTTGTAAATTACTGTTAAACTTTTTAAAAAGAAAAATCTATTTCATTCTGTGAGTTCTGTCATCATGCAAAAACAAAACTAAACAGGTATACCCTTATTTTACAAAGGCCAGGATATAAAAGCTTGGTTTAATCAAAAAGATGTGACATTAAAGGTTTTATTCTATAAAAACATAGGCTGGATGGAGGCCCATTGAGACAAAACAAGCAGCTCTCCATTGGCCAACAATAAGCCTGAAGAGTAGTCCTAGAGGTAGCAGTAAAAATAATTTTCAGACTTCCTTGCCTTGTATGCCAAACCAAGCACCATCAAAGTGCCAAAATTGGTGCCAAAGGAGTAATGGAAAGAAGAAAGCTAACAATACATTATTTGTTTGATAAGTATAAAACATTTAGAGTGAGGAAAATTAAGTTTCCAACATGGTAATTGTCTTCACTTCTTAACATATAACAAGAAGCACTGAAAAGCTATTTTGGGCAATGAAAATCTAAGTGTCCTTGAATATTAGTCAGATAGAGGGCTGAATTGCTGATTGGGGTTGACTTGTTTTGTTTTGTTGTCTGTTTTCTGTTTTGTTTATTCCTTGCCTCCTCGTGGTTTCTCTCCTAACAGGAGATACTTTGTGTGTATTGTTTGGCTAGGGTATTCTATTTTTATCAAATAAATGCATTATTCTTAAGCTATCCTTTAAAGAAGAAAACTGAAAATTGCTTTATAGCATCACTTAAAACCAGTGCTCTTACCTGATATTAAACATGTGTATAAACTGAATCATAACTCAAAACCATATGTTCGTGGTGAGTTTGAAAGGAGGAGCTCCAAAGGATAAATTTTATCATTTGTTTTTCAGAATGCATGGTATACTAACAACTATTGGCCATTTTATTCTGAAATATTTGTCCCAGGAGTTCACTTAATTTGCTGAAGATAATGATGAGGTAAATGGCCCGCCCAAATTTTGCCTAAATCTAACATAATACAGATACTTTTCTTAAAATCATAGAATGTACGTATGCAAAAGGAAAACTCAAATCATAACAGCTAAGGAAAACTACTGATCAGCTGGGACAAAAATGTTTGTTGGAGTAAAAACCAATTACTCATACACTTAACATATGTAAACAAGATAACATGAATCCTGTGGTCACTGCAGTGTGATCCCTTCTAACAATTTTTAATCTTTAAAGTTATGTATAACTCCTTAGCAGTCTCAAGTCACTAATTTAATAGGTCTGGGTCGGATCCCAGCAACTTGGGTAATTCTTACATGCAAGCAGATGCAATGACATCCACGGAAGCAAAACGTGGGTGCGTTTGTTTACCTGTACTCTGTGCTGTTAGAAGTGGATTGCCAGTGAGGCGAGACACAGGGCGATATGAACGCATGTTGAAAATTAATTGTGAGCTAGAAATGCTGATCAAATCGTTTGCATCACAAATAAGTGTTTGCTCTTCAAGAAATACTGCAAATATGGTTGCAAGGATCAAAAGTGGATGGCTCATTTGATGTGAAAATTGAGCTTGGGAGGGAGGGGACAGAGAAAGAAAGAAAGGAAGAAAGAGACGGGTCGCCCGCTGGTCTGTGGCGACTTGGGAGGAATCCTATGACCAAAAGACCAAGAAAAGACTTGAGCCCAATTCATATAGTTAAGCAAAATTCACCTCAGGTAGGAGGATTTTCTTTCGTCGATTTCACCTTCACTCTACGGAAATCTAGCTTCTTATGCAAGGCTTATCTCGTTTCTCAAGCCTAGGACGCTGGTGTGTTTTGAGGCAGTCTCCTAGAAGTCCTGGGAGACTCCGGGATCTGGTACTGTGTGCAGGCGCGACCTGTAGCTCTGCCTGGTGGATCTGCAATTCGATTTCAGGCCTTTTTCCCCCTCGGCATTTTTTTTTTTTTTTTTCTCCTGACTACTTGAGAGGAAAAAAACAAAAACTGTATAAGAAACTCGAGAAGAGACTGTGGGATGTAGAACCGCACACGTGGTCCTGCAAATTGGACAGGAGGCTGGGGGAGGCGGGGAAGAGAGGAGAAGTGAAACTAGAAATTATGGTGCAGCTTGCGAATTCGAGAATCTCCATTGTTCTTTCCCAGTCTGTATTGTTTTTGGTTCTTCACATCTGCACTTATCTAATAAAAGCGGAAGAGGGAAGGTAATGGTCTGAACAGGGACCTGTCTATGGAAAGAAATGTACAAGCAGCAAGTCGTGGGTATTTTTGCTGGGAAACCTCAAAAGAGATGTGATTCCCGAGGCTGTTTCAAAGTAGCTGTAGATTATTTTACCAAAGATGACAAACAGCTCCTTTGTCCAAATCTAAGACACAAAGATGTATCAACTCCCTCAAACAGGACATTTTCATTCTTTTAGAGAGCAGTCAGGCCCTCAGGAATTAGAGAAGATGAAGGAACATCCTTTTATGATATGTTTTGAGTAGCTACACAGGTAGGCAGATAAATAAAAGAAAGTGGATTGCTTCAGGAAGCTGTTTTGCTTCAGAATGTACCTTTTTTGGCTAAAAATAATTTATTGTAAATAAAAGGAAAAAACAAACTTCTGTCAATATAGATGCATCATCTGAAAAATAAACTAATTTTCTTTGGAAAGGAGAAGATAAAGTGCTACTTCTTATAGCTCAAGTCAAGATTTAAGAAAAATTATTTCCCCATACAAATGTTGAGTTTTGTTTTTCTTTTCTAACATGTCTTGAATTAAACAAAACCTGTAACAAAATTGTAATGAAAACTCTGCATGATCTAAACATCCAAAGAGAGAAATTCTAGAGTGATTGTATTTGGGAACCGCAAAGATTTTATTGTGGGATATCACTGAAGTAGAGGCTGTGAAAGCAGTGAGACTCTCTCTACCTGGGGCCGGGTGGCAGGGGAAGACTTTAGAAAACATTCTTCCAATTCAAAAAAAAAAATAAAAAATAAAAAATGCATAAAAGGTTGGGCTGAGCTTTTTTTTTTTTTTTTTTTTTTTTTTTTCCAGGATATATTTTCAAATGTATAGATTTTGAAGGCCAATTGCCAGGTCACGAATATATGGAAATAAAGCACAAGAGCAAATGCCAAATGCCTGTGGTTTATGTATGCTTCGTAAAATCACGGAGTTTTTATATTCGTGTGGGTAATGGAGAGAGAGAAAATGATAGATAAAAACCCGTTTGGGTTTGTCATGGATTTCCATCCACTACAGACATTTTCTTAAGCTTCCAAATTCCTCATACAAACACTTATCTAATATTTTCAGCTTCTCACACGGCAGCAGACATTTTCTTATTTTGCTTCTCCGAAGTACTTGGGAAAAGATAACCCAAGAGATCCTTCTAAGTGAAGCCTGTACTTGCTGCTTGACCTTAGGAAACCATGGGAAGTGTGTGGCCATCTCTGCAAGGATGCTGGGTGTGAAGAGGCGAGGAGACTTCAACAGACGTCCACCGTCCCTTGTTCTTGAGGAGGTTTGAATAACGCTTATTTAGCACAATTCGCATGCAAGGAAGGAAAAGGAGAGCGCTCCTTGGAGTGGGAGAAGTGAATGCAAGGGGCGTTTTAGGACGCCTTGGTGAGGAGAGCAGATCAGGAAAGCCTCCTGGGGCTGCTGAGTCCCTTAAAGATTGGGCAAGTTTGCGGATGAGGCCTGCGGGTCGCTCCTGCAGACGCTGGCTCGCTGGTTCCACGCCGCCACCCCCGCGCTTGCGCGCCCGCGGCAGCCACTAGTGTCCTGGGCGCGGAAACCCCTCCCGGCGGCGCCTATTACTAGCAGCTGCTTCTGCTTAGCCCTGCGAGGATCGACTTGCCCCAACCCACGGCCTCTCCCAGGGTTCAGTCTCCTCCCGCCCCTCCCTCCCTTCCCCGCCTCTACCCCCAACTCCGCAGCGGCCGCGGCCAGTCGACGCTGTCGCGCAGTCACTGGCGCAAGTCCTCAGCTCTTGGTCGGGGGTTTGGGGGAGGGAGCAGGAGGAATGAGCCAGAAGGAACGGGAGGCTTTAAACCCTCCGTGGGAGGTTAGAAGAAGGTGCTGTGGCTGTGGGATCAGGAGGCCACAGACGGGAACGGCGCCGAGCAGGACTAGCGGTAGAAAGCTGCCTCTCTTCACCCCGCCACAGCGCGCCGAGAAGGAGCCGGAGGCCTGGGCGGTCGAGAGGCGCTCCTGCGCCCACCCGGGCCCTGCTGGCCACCTGTGGCGTCGGGGAGAGGACCTGCGGAGAGGGTGCAGGGATACTGCTGCCCTTACGCAGGGCCCCTGGGGATTAGCGAAACGCTTCGCCTCGCTAGTGCCGGGGGAAAGCGCAAGGTGACCCCAGGGCAGAGTAACCGCGGCGGTCCTCTCCCTGTTTTTGGCACTCCACTTTTAGCGTCTGCTAGAGACGAACGGCCAGGAAGCGCAAGGTTTCGATGGACTGGGACAGGAAAAGCTGCTCTGCCGCACAGGGCAGCGCAGGCTGGGGGCCCAGCCAGTGAGGTAGCCCCGGCTGCAGCTACTGGCGTCGGTTTGTCCTCCGAGCGCTAGGCGGGAGTGGGACCCCGGCTCACCGCAAGAGTCACCGGGTGAGGGTGAGGTGAGGACGGGTGCGGCCCTTGGAGCCTAGCTGTAAAGGGGCCTAATGCGCGTTTGTCGCAAAGGGAGGCCTGTTCTGACATTAAGGAGTGTCAGATACTCAAGGATAAGCTTCCGAAGAAAGTTTCCACCTAGATTGTGGCAGTATTTTGGAAAATGAGCCTCATCCGTGGCTAGTATGAGTTAGATTTCTGCTCCTCTGCACAGTTCTGTTCTGCTGGCTTAGCACGAGGAACAATAGCATCTCTCCTGCCCAGAAGTGACCAAAGCAAAATGGCCTATCGGGTCCTTCTCCCCGCCCACTGCCGAGAGTAGGGGGCTCATCTGTCAGTAGAGGGCACACCCATTCGTGCCTGTGTCATATTTGACAGCCGAAGAGATCTTAGCGATATCGCAGTCGTCCAACCCTGCAGTTCTACTGATGAAGAAATGAACATTCCCAGGGGTCAAGTGACCTGCCGACGATGATATCGCTGTATGCCCAGCGTCTAAAACAGTTCCCGGCGCAGGGCGAGCCACCATTAAATATGTGTTCAATGAATGAACACCCAGCAAGGTGGTCGTAGACTCGGGATCGGATTCCCAGTGCATCCCCTCTAACCCAAGTACAGAGTAACAACAGGCTGGGGCGTTTTCCTTCCAATGACGCGTTTTCCTTCCAATGCTGGGCCAGGACCCAGCACTCCCAAACCCAGTTGCCCTTTTGCTGACAGATTACGGCGACCAAGCCTCGAACTCCTCGCCCTTCTTTTCTGATTTCTGAGAATCCGCGGTCTCTAGCCCTAACCCCAATCCCACCTCCGTTTTCATCTCTCAGTTCTAGAGTCTGCGTTGTGGTCAGTACCATTTCCTTACTATCAAAAGCGGCCGCGGGCATTAAATTGCCATAAGTAAAGCATAGTCTCCTCTCTCCTTTGAGAACATCCCCGCATTTTTGGCGGTCTTAGCCGCGGCCAAGTACAAGCCACCCGTTTCAGGGCAGGGGTAGAGCCTTTAAAGGGTTGCTGGGGGCAGCGTTAGCATTCCTCCCCTAGCCGCCCGCCGGGAACGTCCAATCTAAGAGGTAAAAATGCGAGCGTGCAGCGCAGCGCAGCTTGAAAACAAGACCCCTCCACCTCCAGCCATAAGACCCTAGCCAATTGTTGCCCTTAGCTGAGGCCTCCTAGAATTTCTGGGGCCGCCACTGCGCTGGGGGGAATCGTGGGACACAGTCCGGGGAAAGAACAAAGCTAGGCGCCAGGAAGCGCCGACCAGCCCGGACGGGTCAGCCGGGTCCCTGGCGTCTCGGGGTTTTTCCAAGAAGCAGGAAGGTGACTGCACAGGACGCAAACGACACCCAGTTACCGTTTCCTGGAGAAACACCTTTGCTAATGCATTTAGGGAGGTTGCTAATTGTTAGCCATGTGCCGCTTGAAGACCAATAGGGCTTTCTCCAGGTAAAGACGTCCTCCCCCAGAGGGCAGATGATGGTAGTTTTCTGGAGGTGGAGAGAGATTTGGGACATTTTGGAGGTTTCGTTCTACGGCTTAAAAAACCACTCTGACAGAAAACGTTTGTAAATCCAGACATTCGTTGTAAGAACCTGGAGGAAAGGCCGGTTCTCGTCCCTAATACAGAGCTTGCTCACGGAAGTGCCCTGGACATTGAAAGAATGCGGGACCATTTGCGGTAATACCGGCAATGTTCCTTCTCCGACGACACTACGAAGCTGTCATTTTCCCTATTTCTATGATCGCTATTGGACCCAAGTAAATAATTTCAATTTCATGACTGTCCGCTTGGAAAGCTATTAAAGGAACTGTTTTTTCATCTGATACATCTAAGTTATCAGTAGGGTCTTAGAACTGGGGTTCCCTCATAGACGATTGCTAATATTTTCTGAGATTACCTCTGTTCATTGTGATCAGAGAAACATGTATCCATGTTTATACTCACATTGAAGGAATGTGAAGTAACAAATACACGGTTTACTAAAAATATATGTAACTTGATTTCTTTGGAAGAAAAATGACTGGGAGAGATGCTCCCAGACCTTTTCACTGATATTGATTTGGGACAGTACATAGTGTCTAGGGAAAGAGTCACTGTAAAAGAAATAGCATAGCAGCTAAACTAATCTGGTGATCCAGCTATCTTTTTCAAATGTTCCCTATTGTACCTGTGCATGAATACAAAAACCCTACATAGCTCCATTTTCTTATATTAGAAAAGTTCTGGAAAATATTACAAATTATTCCAGGAAGAAATAAATGAAGAATGACATTTTCAAATTCTAGGTATAGACACCTGCAAATCTGTAATTTTCCTGAGGTTAAGCCTTGCTTTCCTTTTCTGTTGCAATTTAAACTTGAAAAAATATATTTTTCTTTTTTAACGGAGAGGAGGGGAGGGAAGAGGCGAGGAAGGAGGGGAGAAGTCACTTGAAAAAATATTTATAGGTAATATTGAATTCTTGGTCTCACATCTCTTAACAAAGAGAATTTGTCTTGCCTCTTTCAAAGTACTTTTGCAATAATGAATTTTTCATTTTCACCTGTTAATGTCACACACTCTGTATTTTTAGTATACTTCAAGCAGACACTGTCAATATGTGCATTAAAGGAACATAAAGAAAAATCGCCCCTTGGCTAGCCAATCTGTGGAGTCTGTGGAGATGTACAATGCTGTTAATTCCTCTGAGCTCCATCTGTGGAAATGATGAAGGCTAGCCATTATGTAGGATTGTGAGGTTAAATTAATTAGGTTCTTCCATTATAATGCAGTCTTCTGGAGATGGTTGCCATTTTCCCTTTAAATGTCATTATTTCTAGATCTAGTTAGCAGCTGATGCAATTAAAGAGGAGATAATGTAAATTTAGCAATACAAATAACACTTTCTTTCATGTATGTTGAAAAATGCAAGATAAGAAGGACCAGCCAAGTTGTACCTGCCTGCCATAAACAACTGATGTAACTCATACTTTAAAAGAATAAACTCAAACCAGCCAGTGTGCACTTGGATGGATTCTTTTCTTCAGTAAATTCTTGAATCAATACTTTTGTTTCATGTTTTCATGTTCTCAGTAATGTTAACATATCCAGTTACAAACTCTTGCCAGTAAGAAAGAAAATATGCCCTGCTGTGCACCCTTCTAAACACTTTTAAAGAATGATGCTTTCTTTTCATTTGGAATTATAATTTTGATTGTCTGTGGTATCTTTGCAATCTCCAATGGATAATGAGTGGACACACTTCATTTCCTAAACTAATCACCTGAGGGGAAAACAAGGTCACATTAGCAAACCCAATAACATCTCTGATCTTCTACAACAAGGGCATATATAAGCACAAAAATAGCATTAATTATGATATTTATTCTGCCACTGCAGAAACATCAGAAAGACTGGTAGGCTAATGAATCTATACAAC